TTTAGAAGAATACAAACTAGAAAAACCAACAAATTTTCATCTGTTATTCTGCATCCTCCTCCCACCCTTAAAAAGTTTCCCATTTTGTTATTCCTGAAGTGAATTCTGATACGTTCCCTAATGTATAGATCACATTTATTCATGGTTCTACAGTAGCACCAGATAAAAATGCAAAATCAAAGGGAAGAAATACAGGACATTTCAGACTGTGTTCATTACATGCTGCAAAATTTCTATCTTTCCAAGAAAAAAATGACATTTCCAACTTCCAAAACCTTGCTATTATTTTCATTAAAAAAAAAAAAAAAACACGCGTGGAAAATGAAATAAAAAGTCTTAAAGTTTTAGTGTACTGCTTTTGAATAATGTTATCTACAATTATGACAGACAATCTGTTAAATAGAAAAAAGGTTTGTTTTACATAAAGCAAGAGTACAAAAGCACAGCTTTTGTAATTTTGGTAATATTGCAGTTTTACAAACATATTGCATAGTATGTGTAAGAAAATAGTTCCCATCTTTTTATATATTATATACACAAGAAAATCATTAACGTGAAAATTACAAAACAAAAATGGTTAGCAGACCTTTACTGAGTACTTATTGAAACAATATGACACTCAACCTTTGATCCAGTTTACATATTCATTACTGTGAATCAGCTGATAGTAAGTCCATAATGTGTTTTCTTTTTTATTATTAAAACAATGATTTAGAATCTTAAACCAAAACCATAAAAAACAATACAAAGTGTTAACAGAGTATCTTAAGCATCCTTCATAAAATCCTTCCAGGCATTTATGGCTGTATCTTCAACACAGACTTAATAGCCCTCTGCATCTAAAATATTTTAAAAAGTGAAATTGTGTTGTCCAGTCAAACCACTGTTTTACAAACAAAACAGTATAGCTTCAGTTGAAAGAAGCAATATCTTGGCACATTTTGGAATATACACTCTCCTCTTTTTAAGAACACCGGAAGATTCATATTAAGTATGAGCAGTAACATAACTGCAAAAAGTTGGAAAAAAAAATTGACTGGGAAAAAGTGAACAATCTACAGCTCAAAATGCTGTACAAATCTAAACTATGTTACAATTTCATGTTGTAATTACAACTTGTCTCTTCATTCCAACAGAATTAGTAGGTGTCGTAGTGTTAGATAAAGTAGAAGTGTCAGTCTTTGGTCTTATCGCTTAACCAATGAATGAATTGCAGTACAAAACCATACAGCTAACAGTGCTCAGAGAGATTGCTGATGCTTTTATTTTTCTTTTTTAAACAAGAAAGAGACAGTATCCTATAATATAATGATGCATATTTTTATAGAAGATAAATGTCTTGTCTGCTTTAAATACATGTAGCTAATAAGGTCTTTTAGTGTATTTCACTGTTGCCATAGGGATAGCTCTGGAAAAGTCAAACAGCTGCAATACCATCTTAGTGGTTCCAAAACATTAGAGTACAAAAAGAAGCTTCATTTGATACATGTATTCATATAATAGAAAGAGCCTCAAAAGAGTAATTTTAGTATTTTTTTTAATTGCTCAAATATTAATGATTAAAAATACCTTGAGGTCTTCAATCTTTCTCTACAATTGTTCCAACAGAATGATTTATTAATGGGAAACTCAGCCTTAGTTGGAATAAGAAGTGACATCTCTCTTCTGAAATAACTGATCAAAATTTTTAGTTAAATAAGCACTCTGGTTAGAGATACAGTAGGAGCTTTACATCACATGAATACTGGACACTATACATGACTAACAAGGACTGAAACAACTTGCAGAAAGGGCCAATAATCTTTGAGAAAGGTGACCCAAAAAATAACTAAAAATTTCCGAATGGTTCTGCATACAATGACCTTTATTTTATGCCTCAACATTACAAAACCAGGACTGAAATAGTAAAGGTATGGCTCTATGTTTTAACATGGTATTTGCACTGAGATCTTTCAGTTTTCTCACATCTGAAATGATTTGATCAACTGTGTCATTTTTTGAAGCACACTACAAACCAAAGAGCTCTACTATTTGCAGCTCTAAACATTGAAAAATACCAAATTTGTTTCTCTTCCCACTCAGAGACACTGACACTGCTTATGCATTATTGGTGTTCTGATGTTTTTAGTTCTTTCAATGCACTGAAATCCCTTTTCTAATACTCTTTGAAGTCACGTGGGCTAGAAAACCTCTTAAAAATGAAAACTTATCTTTTCCCTGTCTTATATCTTTCAGTAGTTGTAAATATCACTATTATGAAAGTCACCAGAATATTAAGACATTTATGAGAACGATTTTATAGTTTCCTGAAGCTTCCAAATTTACTTGTGCTAATATTGTTATCATAAATAGTATGGGGCAAATTGAAATGACTGCTAGCACAAAAGTCCTGACAGTGCAAAGCTTTATGGACTTACTGGCTTGGTTTTGTCCAACGTACCATCTACGTATCTGTCCAAAGTTTTCCTCATACACAGAGGTAAAATATTTCATCCTTATAAATATGAATGCAGTTATGAAATATATGCAGATGTGGTTTTGGTTTATTTCTTTCTGCTTCTTATAAAGTTTCAGCCTATCTGTTCAGCGGCTAGAAATGTACTACAGGTAAATTATCATATAAGGTGAAGAACAAACAAGAAATGTTCAATGGAAAATCCATGACAAAGTATCTGAAAGCCATTCCTGTGGATTTATTGGAGAATAAAAAATAAAAACTTAGTCAATTTGTATCAAATTTGTAAGGTAAAATTTAATTTACTGAATAGATAAGTCAGTAGAACCTTTTCATCTTTGAAGCAACCAGTGTTTGTGGGCGTGCAGAGATAATGAATGCATATGGATTTATCTTGTACTCCTGGAATACTATTTATCTTTTCATCCTTGGACTTTCACACCTCCATGCTATTACTTATGTAAAAAGTAGAAGAAAAAAGTAGAAAAAGAAATCTATTTCCTTTTGGTTTTAAGTGTATAGTGCATGGATGGACTTTCAAATGTTTTATCTTTGTTGTTGTTTGTATCTGTTTCTGTCCCTCTTACTAAGAATCTCCAAGCTTCCAATATATTTTCTTGCAATACTTTCAAATACATTTTCTTACAAGTGAAATAACAAATTATTAAACTAACAAAAAATTATTTCTTAATAGCCTTCTTTTGAAGAAATAAAATCAATTTAAAATCTTGATTTAACTGCTAGAAAACAGAAGTTTAGCATTCTTGCCATGGGGTGAAATTCACGCCTCTGAAGAGAGGCAGTGGAAAGACAAGCACCAGTTAAGCCATGCACACGTCTTGTGCTGGTCTTCTGCATAGGAGTGAATTTCACCTGAAGTGAAAACAAAATCCTTATTAGGTGGTAATAAAATAGGTAATCAAAACATTTGGTTACTTCTTTTCCTATTTTTTTTTTCCAAAGACAAAAAAATATACTCTGTAGAAATACTCACCTTTCACTCTTTGCCCTTCAGAGTGACCTTGCAAAAGCTGTCATTGAATTGATGATCTTACATTCAGAAGCCTCTATAGCTACATGCTAGGTGATGTAATTTAAAGGATAGTATTAAAAAGTGCACTTACCTTATGTAATCAAGCCATCTTCCAGAATAGGAAGCATTTTTAAACTGTTTTACATTCCTGGATTCTGTAAGTTTCAAGATACTCTTGTTAATCAGTGTTGTGATAAATTTATGTAGCAGTATACCAAAGCTTTTATATAAGATTTCTATTACAAATCAAATGAATCAAGTATGAACCTTGATACAAGTAAGAAATCCCATCTTAAACTGGTCAAAAATAAGAAGTCAGCAGTGAGATCTTGGTGCAAATGGGGCTGCATAATTTAAACACAGACCTGATGAAGTCAACATAATATTAATGTACTTATTTAATGTACTTTCTTCATATTTAATGTGATTTGATATATGTTTGTATATATATGTGTTACTGTTATTTTGAAACTTTAGCAGCAGATGGTAAACGAAAGAGATTAAAAATATGAGTGTCATACCACTTGTTAGTGAATTGCTTCTCAGTATTACACATTGCATTAGCACTAAAGTTTATGCTGTGCTCAAATGGCAGCAGTTAGCTAGAAAATGGACAGATGTAACTTTGAAGATTTTTTTTTTCATTTGCCAATTATAATTACTTTACGAAGAGCAATACACTGGTCAAAAGACATATCATCAGTATTTCCCTCTTTACCCTGTTCTTTCCCAAAATCTACTGAAAGCAATCGCTTCACATGCAGTAGCCACAAAATTAATATATAAGGCCATTCAGATCAGACAAACAAGAACAGATGTCTTTTTCACTCTGAAAGGTAATATTGCTGAGCACTTCCAAAATTTACCTAGTGTACAAAACCCTAGACTGAGTAGACAAAGAGTAACAACACACTTCTAAAGAAACCAAACTCAGGGAGGGATTCTGTCTCTTTTTGTGTTAAAAACCATTTACTGAATTTAATTGTTTAGTAAAGCAAGCATCACACAATGCTTCAAAATTTTAAAATTCAGGGATAAAAGTTTACATCCAAAAAAGATGAATGGAAAATTGTGCTTTCAGACAGTAGAGTTAATTATCATACAGGGATAACCAATTCATCTCACCATCAGATTCTGGGCAAATTTGTTTATGTACTGTATATATATATGTGCAGTTCATATCCAGGTCCTGCAAAAATCTAAAACTATGTGCTTCACTTCATGTAGCAAAGGCACCTGTGTTATTCTCCCTTTTGGACAAAAGGTGATATTATGTTCCAGGTTTCCTGATGAAGAATACATTGATTTATGAATATCTCACTCCCATCTCTACGTTGAGTGGTAACACAAACCACGAGAGAAGGCAGCGCTGTATTCCTGCTTACACTGGAAGAAGTTGCTCTGCAGGCCATTTGAAGCGTTGAACTTGTCACAAGGGAAACCGAGCAGAACTGTGAAGCAGAGGGATAGTAACAAAAGGCTATTCTGGTGTGAGGATAAATTGGAGTCCTTCTAGCTCCACAAGCAGATGTTGCTACTGGATTGACATGTGGAGCCTGCTCCTGCTGGGGACAGGTAAAGTTTACCATTGGGACAGATGCAGATCTCATAGATTGTCTGGCGAGGAGCTGAAGAGCTCGGTGAAGAGGAGGAGAAGGAGCCCACTGGTAGATTTCCCAGGCGGATTGTATCTGCATTTAAAAATATCTACAAAAGGGGGAAATAAAAGAATAAGTACATTTCTTTCAGTATTGTAGCATATTTTTAAAAGTGTATTTTAGGCAGAGTTGTGAGATTTTGCAAATATATAAGCTGTCAACATTTCTTGTTTTTCAACTGTGCAGTTGCATACCCATTAATGCCCATTACTGCAGTATATGCAAATGGTTCCCCCAACATGTTTATTCAGATACAAGAAATATCATACAGAAATATTTAGACAGTATTCTTAAACAGCTCAAATTTTCACCTGTGCAATTTGTGATTAAAATTTATTCATGCGTGTCAGTAGCATATCCTTGTTCTGGAAAAGTTTTTATTTTAATGAGTGTGAAGAGATATTAAAGTACATTCCCTAGTGTGCTCCTGTAAGCAGCAGGAAATATGTGCTGAACTGTGCTAAACTGTAGGGGCTTAACAATAGTTTCATTCTGAGAATAATTAAATAAGGATGCAGATTCACATGCACAAAATAAAGAGCCAATTTGACCTAAATTAGGAGGATAGAATATTTCAGGTTAAAGTCCTGTTAAGGAGGTCATTTGCTATTCCCATTTGATTCTGAACGTATCAAATGACTTTAAAAAAAAATTTTTTTTTTTTTAATCTTCTTCTTGGAAACAAGAGACAGTATTAAACAGCAAACTTGAATAATGTTAATAAATCTGTATCAAATTCTATAATACTTACACTTCTGTTAAATTTTCAGGATGCCACGAAATCATGTAAATAAAGAAAAAAACAATGCAAATCCTCCACTATTCCACCTAGTACAAATAGATAAGCTTCCAGCTGCTTGGAGGTAGTTTTTCATGGAAGGAGTAAAAGAGAGCCAAAGCAAGATCAGCCATTACCTTGGATGCAGACTATGGTAACAAAGCAAAACGGCTTTATCTCTGCAAACAACTGTAGAAGCTTAGGAAAAGGTGAGTTCCTTAGGTTGTTGTTAGTGATTTTTATAAGGTATTGAAAGTCAACAAAGCCAACTTGACAACACTATAGCACAATATCAGCAGTACATTTAAGGGACTGGGAAGATATGACACTTGACATTTCCAACAGTAAATACATATTAGTTTATGATAAAACTGGTGGTATATAGCAGAAAAGCAGTGCAGGAGCACTATAGAACCCGTGCTGGAGAGAAGTGACTGACAGCAGGATGGGAAAAAACTGAGAAGAGAAAGCTGAATGAAAATCCATGCAATGACTGATGCACAACAATGTTACCATCCACAGCAGAAGCAATGTAAATGACTGGGATGGTTGAAGGAAATACAGACTGAACAAAGCCCAAAATAATATAAACCCTGTCAAGGCTTCCTTCTCCCAGAGGAAGATGCTGTCACTGATGGGAAATAACACTAAAAGGGACAGAAGGAAGAATCTCAGAGGCATAGATGACAAGTGCATGGCATGATACCTTTCTTAATTCTCATCCTTACTGACAGGAATTCATTACAAAAGTAAATGCAGTGAACTGTTATCTTTGTTCTGCATTTTTTATAACAAAAGAATGATGCATTTACACACACAAGCTGTTTTAAAAGTACAATTTCATAAACCTGAAGTAATTAGGAGTCAGTATATATTATAATTTATATAATAATATATAATTTAGATGGAAGAAATGTGGACAGTGTTTAGAATTAATACTGTTCTATTGGAACTGGAACTGTAAAATATTGCATATGTGAAAAACTCAGCTCAGATAGGAGCAAATGTAACAGTAACTATAGAAAGCATAATAAGAAAATAAAATAACAGATGAGAGAAACAAAGAATTTGGTAGCAAACTAAAAACTAGAACTGGTAAAATGCGGTAAGGAAACAAAAGACTAATCATCAGTCAGTGGAGTTAATGCAAATAAAAAGTACTCTTTCATTTCTAATACAAGAAATAAAACAAATGTTATCAAGTCCACTATTATCACAGCAACAGTGGAGATATCAACAGGATTGAATAAAAATCTAATACCATTCAACAGTGTAAGCTTAACGTAAGTATCAGCACATCTTTTATACTGAATAGTGTTCAGCATCGTTCTGTACTCAGAGAAAGATCAAACACTGACGTCAGAACATGATAAAATGCTTTCAGTTTCAACAGTAACTCTGCCGGATATTAAACAGGAGCCTTGAATGTCCTATACTTGTAATCAGCAGGTTTTGATAGCTTGAAAATAGTTTTAAAAAAAAAACCAACAACCAGAGTAGCCTTTTGGACATTTAATACGTTTTTTCACTAAGCCTTAGTATACTCGGAATATCAGAGAAGATAAGTAAAAGATTAGTTATCTGTTTTTTTGAGAAAAAAAGAAAAAAGAAAAAAACAGAAATTAGAATGTTATGTATGTGATAATATGACATTTGAATATAGAAGACTTTCATGTTAAGAAAATCCAACTATACCAGATCAGTTACATATACTTTTGAAAGGAAGAATGACTGGTAACAATTTAGTTGAGGTAGTAGTGGGAAAGGATTCTGAGGAGTACATAAATCAAAATTAAATGAATTCTAAAAGAAGACATGTCTTGATTAAAAAAAGAATTAATTCAGAAGGAAAACAGAAGTCATATGATGCTCGAGATCATGCTAGAAGATGAAATTCTTTTGGATGCTTTGAACTTTGCTATTTTTTATTATATGTACTTATTATTTCTATGTCTTTGCTTACATCAGGACAGCTACACTTCTGCAACTCCTAACTGCAGAGATTCTGTAGTGTACTTCCCTAAGGTTTTAATTCAGTGGACTTTTACTCCAGCGTCCACTGCAACATAACGTGGCTCAGTTACTTCAAGATTAAATGATCTTTTAAATGATTAAATGATCTTTTCAAGCACATCTGTGCATGTATTTCCACCAGCGCTTTCAAATTTCACACTGTGATGTTGATGAAACCAGATTTTTCTGATGCCATGATCTTGAGTGGTAGCTGTAATGTCCTGTTCCAACAAGCATCCCACAACATCTGGTGAGCAATGTGGATAAAGTGGTACTGTGTTGCAGAGAAACTGAAGTGGATTCTTGTGAAGGTGTATCTACTGCAATGAGTCTGACAAGTTTGATGCCTTTGTAGAAAGCTGGGAAAGTAGTGATGTTTAGACAGACCCCTATAAGCTACACTCTGGGAATACCCAAGATGAAGAAGTTTAATAAAGGTAGCTTAAAGCCAACCTTAAATCTGTGTACATATGCAGTCAGGGTTATCAATAAAAAACTAAATTTACAGATGCAACATTGATATTTATTATTAGTTACTTCAGGGAAAAAAAAAAAAAAAAAAAAAAAAAAGCCCCCTTTGTATGGAATTTGAGAGGAACATAGTTCATGTTTTAGGATGCAACCTTTTCCCTCCTAAATTTTGGTAAAAACTGAAATTCTTGTCAGAAAAATCTTCCAACAAAACTTAAACTACTTAACTTTTTATGGTTGCTGTAATGAGGTGTTTGAAGAGAAAGGGGGTGGCAACAAAGAAGAGTATTGTGTTCCCAGGGAATACTGTTACTAGATGACAGAGAAGTCATCAGGGAAATGCCAGTATGAAGGGTCTTACTCTAATCCTTTGTGCTGCCAAAGGTAGGAGATAAGCCATATAATACTTCATATGCATGAAGATTAAGCAAAGCCATTATGCTCTACCTGATACTCACACCTTAGCAGATAAATAGGCAAGGAAAAAAAATCTTGAAACATTGTGGGAGATTGACTAAGAAACTACAAAATGGAAAAAGCAGCAGTTACTCACCAAAATAATGTTTCACATTGGAAAACAGTATATTTAGCAGGATCGTTCCCTTTATATAGTTAAGATCTAGAAATTGTAGATCATTGCCCTGTTTTGTGTATCTTAATGTCACAAAAAATATTTTAATATTACCCTTTTTAATTATTTTTTTTAAAAGTACACCTGGTTTCGGATTAATTAAAATAGCAAACTGAATCAGCCTGTAGGGCATGTGAAATTAACAGAAAAATCGTACACTTTAAATGAATATTCTTATGTTCTCTACTATTAATGTGAAACCTGAGAACTTTATAAATAAATAAATATAAATATTTGGTCTCTCTACTTAGAAAATTTGCAATCAGTTATTTCTACGAATTAGCAAAAGTCTCTGCAATAACAGCACTATTAACTGTCAGACACAAACATGTAAAAGACTGTATGTTCAAAGAAATGTCAAAGATTAACTAACCCAAGAAATCCTAGCCTGTGCCTTGTGAAAGTGTTTAGAATATCAAAGGTACCTGTGATGTTTATTAACTGAGATCTGGAAGTCATCTACTCATCAGACTGTGCTGTTAAGCTATCTGAACAGGAACAAGGAGGAGAGGAAGATAAGAAAGAAAATACAGTTTATCTACAAAAAAACACAGAAAAATTGAAGGAAAGTACTTTCAGTGGGTAAGATACAGGCATGAGGTAAAGAATCAAATATTCATACAAGGCATGTTATATAGAGATATGAATCAGCCTTGTCATGTATAAAAGTTCTCCCCTAGGTCCTTGACTAAGTGCTCACAAAAGAGGAGATTACACTCTGACTATATACAGCCAAATACAAGAGTTATGATTTATAAATATTGAAAAATGCATCAAAGTATGGCTGGACTTGAAAGATCATTCCAAAGTGCTTCAAATTGTATTCAGGACTAGTGTGGTTAAAAAATAACAGGAAATTGGATGAAATGTAGAAAAGAAGAAGGAAAACTGAAAGGTAGTGTTCATCAATCAGTATGAAAAGACAGTGTAATGTGATTGCCCTTAGGCTCTTCAGAATTAATTTGAATTATAACAATTCAAGATTTTGTCTAGTCTTTTTGCTCTATTGCATATGCTACCAGAAGCATAAATGGAAATATGATCATATAAATTGGGTTGCTAGACTCCTAACTACGTATTTTTCATTTGCTTGTATGTTTTTATTTGCTGAAGTCAGATTACAGCATATACTGCAATGTTTTAGTTCACATCAACCTATTGTTCTAATAACTACTTCTGTTTTTTGCATTTATTTTAAAAATATTCAACAAAAATAGCCTTCATTGAAAGTCTAACATACACTAGCACAGTATCTGGAACCATATCTGTCTTAAGAATCAGTGTTATTAAGGAAAAGGTAAGTACCGAAATGAATATCATAACTGGGGTGAAACTGGATGTACCGAATATCCAGAGAGGGACAAATTACCTAGTACAATCTGCACGTTCAAAATATATTCTCTATAGAAGTAGGATCAATTGGCCACAGGAGAAAGGAGAGCTGTAGGCCAAAGTGTGCTCAGATGTGGTGAATATTCTCTGTCTAAAGATTATAAATGACACACACGGATGAAGCAACCTTCTTTAATTCTGTTCCATTTTCTTCCTCACCAACTGTAGATGATTTGAAAACTAATACATATATGCATTAAATATAATGTAAATAGTAAAGTGTGCAATTCTTGCTAGAATGGAAGAACTTTTGTTTCAACACCTCAATATAGAAGTGACGTTTATGAGAGTTATGCTTCATTTTAAGCACATATTTTTCTAAATTCATGTTAGATGGTCACAAGCATAAGTCGCATGATAACTCCATTGTAATTTATATTGGTGGCTATGGAAACAAAAAATTTCTAGCGTATTTATTCTTTCCGTTTCAGGGTTGGTCAAATGGGATTGCTATGAATGCTGACCAGTAGAATTTACAAGGTCCAATGCTTATGGTATGCCCATGACAGACTCATACACAAGAATTTCTTGAATCAAATTCCAAATAGTATTAGAAATCCTTTGAAATTCAGAGGACAAATATGACTTCTTTGTTTTATTTGTACCCAAACCAGAAAGCGAAAGACATGATAAAAATATTTCTGCTCAATCCTGTGAGTAAAAAAAGTCATCAATTACATTTCAAATCGAACTAGAATAAAATTTAATCTTCTTGGAAAAATGTTTCACTTATAAATTAAAAATTGTCACTTCTTTTTCTAGTAAAATTGCCTCAAGGATCATCAAGTTCCAACATCCTTGCCATAGGCAGGGTTGCCAGCTAGTACTAGATCAGTACTGCTCAGGACCCCAACCAACCTGGCCTTGAACATCTCCGGGGACAGGGTATTCAAAGTCTCTCTGGGCAACTCCCCTGGCATTTAATCTAAGTCTAACCATTACCCCTTGTCCTATCACCATCTACCCATGTAAAAAGTTGATTTTCCTTCCATTTCTAATCTTCCTTTAAATACTGGAAGGCCATACAGCCTTCTCTTCTCTAGACTAAACAAGCCTAGCTCCTTCAGTTTATTACAGGAGAGGTGCTCTAGTACTCTAATCATCTTCATGGCCCTCCTCTGGACCCTATTCAAAAGCTCTACATCTTTCCTGTGTTGGGGGGTACCAGACTTGGACATAGCACTCCATCTGGGGCCTCACAAAAACAGAATAGACAGGGACAATCACGTCCCTCTCCCCACTAGTCATCCCTTTTCTGACAGAACTGAAGTTACCATTGGCTTTCTGGCTACAAGTGCACACTGCTGGCTCATGTTAAGTTTTTCATTTACCAGAATCCCTAAGTCCTTCTCAGCAGGGCTGCTCTCAAGTTCTTCTCCCAGTTTGTATTATCTTGACCTGGGATTATCTCAAACTGAGTGCAAAGCCTTGCACTTGGCTTTGTTGACCTTCATGAGGTTTACATGAGCCCAACATTCAAATTTATCAAGACCTTCTAGATGGCATCCCTTCCTTCTGCCTTTTCAACCACATCGCTCAGCTTGGTGTCATCAGCAAACTTGCTGAGGGTGCACTCAATCCCATCATTTATGTCACTGATAAAGATGTTACAGCACTGCTTCCAAGACAGATCCCTGGGGGACACTGTGCATCACCAGACCCTCCTGGGACATAGAGCCATTGACCACAACCCTCTGGCTGTGACATTCCAACCAGCTCCTTACCCATGAAACTGTGTACCTTTCAAAACCACATCTCTCATAAGGATAAGGATGTAGTAGGGACCATGCAAGCCAAAGGCCTTGCAGAAGCAAATATATTTATAGAAAAAAGAGTGTCAGTGTGTCTTTCTCTTTTTATTTATTTTGTCTTTGCTAAAAAAATAGGATTCAATGAAAATGCAGAACTTAGGTTACATAAGAAGCAGCCTGAAAAAGTACATAACAGCATGAGCTTCAGTACAGCTAAGGTTAGTTAGCAGCCCTTCTCTTCAAAGAGTGATGTATTTCAAAACCATTAAAATTAGTTGCTAGAACAATTAGTTTTTAGCATGAAATAAACTATTTGGAAAGGTGTGATTATATCATAATGTATTTCAGGTATATTTCTATGTATTTTTATACTAAGCAAAATCTAGTATTTGTGGAATTCAAAATTGATCTGTATTTTTCCAATATACTTATATGTGAAAGAAGCAGTAGCCAGCTAGCAATCATTGTGCTGAATTAACAAATAAGAAAAGTTATTTTTCTTCTTATGTGAACCAGTAGATTTAGATAGAGCTCAGAGCTTCACATTGCTTTCTGCTTGTAAATGATGGCTACTTTAAACCATTAGTTATGGTTTATTTATAGAATAAAACATAGTTCACAATTAAAAGCCAAGCTGTAATTGAATCAAAGGATTCAGCTGATGCCTTGGCTCACAAGGGTGCAGCTCAAGAGTTTTATAAAGAGCAGTAGAGTGTGAATAAAAATTACAGCCCCTAGTATTCAGTCTGGGATCATGCATTATAATGTGTAATATGGCTAAAAGGATTATTATAATACTGTAGTAAATAAAAAGACCATGTATCAAACAGCAGAACTGAGAATGCTTGCAGAGGCTTTCATTTTGTGATGTGGGAGGATAAAGATTATACTGTGTGAGAAATAAGGGTAAAGGAAAATGATTTTATAAACACATCAATGTTCTTCATAAGATAATTTCTGAAGTTATTCTTAAATAAAAGAAAAATATATGCTTCATAGATTAGTCCACTGTAAATTCATAACGATTGTCTTCATGGCTAATAATGATTTTTTCCAGATTCCATATAACTATTTGCTGGTATGACACAGCAGTAATTATGCCACAGAAGGAAAACATTACCTTGTGTATCTTTGGTGCCTTAGTAAATAAGCTTATAAACTTAAAAAAAAATAAAATTAAAAGTTAACTAGTATGGAAATGATACCAAAAAATCATGTATTGTATTTTTTTTCTAGTACAAAAAGGGACCTCAAGGATCATGAATCTCCAACCCCCCTGCCACAGGCAGGGCCACCAACCTCCCCATTTAATACTACACCAGGTTGCCCAGGGCCCCATCCAATCTGGCCTTGAACACCTCCAGGGATGGTGCATGCACAACCTCTCTGGGCAGCCTGTTCCAGTACCTCACTACTCTCTAATAAAGAACTTACAGGGTAAGGGAAAGGGTAGGGAAAGGTTGGTATCTTGTTCTCTCATAACTATCAATCTAACATATACATGGGAAATCACAGATGAATAAAGTCTTATTTTCCATGCCCAGGACTATAAAAAACATTTTTAATAGGAAGTTCGATTAAGCTTGTTTTACACTGTCATTTTTTTTTTTCTATAAAGCATTTTGTTCATAACTGAATTCCAACAATGCAAAAGATAGTTATTACAACTTTTCTCAAGTTCCTATTATGGCAATCTAGCTGAGATCATAAGGAATTACTTCCAAAAACATCTTTCCAATGTACACTAGTAGATACTTAAGAAAAATTAAAAGTCATACTATATATTCCGTACATTTCCGCCATTCATGGATTATGAACCAAACCACTGATCCAATTTGACATTTTTTTCTTGATTTCACACAGGTTTATACATGAAGAATCCATACCAAATTTTTTGTCTTGTTGATCACTGAAACATGATTTTGGTGAAATCATACAATGAACACAGCGCTGAAATTCTCTACCCTTCAGAGGTATTAACAGCCAAAGGAAAAATATGCAGTATGCAGAGCAAATCTGTTGAAACATGTTATCACAGCTTAATAAGGTATTAATTCAAACTTTTCTCTTTCAGCTTGTCAAATTCATCCAAAATTTCTTTTTACCATCATCACTTAGCTGTATTTTTCCCAAGGATATGCCGAAGGACTTGATAGTGTTTTTCTTGAGTGTTATATTAAAAACTATTTTTATCTATATCCATTTCATTTTTTTCAGTGTGCATGAGATTTAGTAATTCAAATATTTGAAAAAAGAAAAATAAATAAATTATTTTAATATAGACAAATGCAGAATGCTTCTTGTATGTTTACCATGCTGCTGAATAAATGATCCTTGCATTATTTGTTTTAAGTTGAACAGGGAAGTAGAACATTTATCTACTGGCTGAGCTTACCTCCCCTTCTGTAGACTGTAAGTGCAGTTCTTTTCTACATGTAGCCTTTAAATCTCCTGCAGCTGCATTGATTTGCACTCCCCTGGGTGCTTCCATCACCAAAGATCTAGTTGGAGATTCAAGTCTGAAAGACAAAAACAATCACTGAGAAAAAAATACACTGAATCAAACCACCAAAAAAAAAAAAAAAAATCAACCAGACTTAAAAACTAGAGTACCACAGTGCATGAAGATACACATTTTGAATTGTTAATGTATTTTGAAAGTTAATGAAGCAGAAGTGAGTTATTATACATACAGATGATTCTCTCACTGTTCTCTATAGCTCAGAGAATAAAAAATCCATCTGTGTTTAAATCTGTTCCTGCCTGGGACAGCATTTAGGCATTTAATGATACATAGGTGCCTGCCTACTGATGTTTGCCTATACTAAAACTGAAATACAGGAACTTACAATTCCATGTATTTCTATGAGTGCTACTGTAATGGCAATTTAATAACTAAACTTTGCTAAGTGACCAATGGCAAATGTTCATCTCAATAAAAATTAAGCAAAGGACTTTAACAGTTTTAAATAATAATGTAATACTGAATAGAATGGCTTTGCCTTCACAGGCTTATTTGTATTTCACAGAGATGTAGCAGCATTATGTATGAAAAAAGGGAAAGAGTACCATTCCAGTCTCTTTTACCACGGTTTTTTGCATGCCCTTTTTCTGTTCTGCAAAATACTCATTATGCTCTTTAATACTGATATAATAGGGTCAAACTACATATTACTGGGACTTGGTATGTCTCCCTAGTGCAACTATTGTTGTTCTACTCCTGACAGATTTTCCCTTTCTTTCTGTACTCTATACTCAAGATTCTCAATTAAGCTTAGTGCAGAACTGAGGTACCTTCTCATCTATATTCTATCTCAGTATGCTGAGATAGATCTCTTGAACGGGAAGAACCACTGCAAGGTTTTGATAGTAGTAGTGTTCACAGACTGAATAGAAAAGGTGATCAAATGTATTGAACTGGAAAACAAAGAAATGAATTCTGGATGGGTTCAGCGATAGACTTATTGCATAGCCCTGTTAGGAATGGGACAAATCTTTTAATCTATTTGTATCACAGTAATATAATGACAGAACACAGTTCTTACTCTACCTGAACAAAAGCTTTTTGTAAGATGAAATATGCTAGTGATAAAAATAGCTAGAGTGAGCAGCTCAATAAAAACACTGCATTTCCCTCTTTACCAAATTGTATTCTGAGTGTTAGGCCAAATCTATTCCAAAGTATAATGAGTTACTAGGCATATTATATATATGAGTAGTTCATCAAAGAATTTTGCTATAGAAGAGCCAAATGAAAGGTCTATCAGGCAGTGGAATGACAGAATTTCAGCATATTTCAACCACTGTTTTTGTTTTTGTTTTTTAGTATACAGAGTAGTAATGGATAATTTGAAATCAAAATGCCACATTTGCATGCAAAGTAAGTTACCAAGATGGTATCTGTGAAATATGTCTGTTCATTATATGTCACTCAGATTCAATGGGACAGAAGATGGAAACACACAGAAAAATTACCTGGTAGCACAAAATGAGACTATTAAAAGCAGGTGTTCAGATAACAGCAAAGTATTTTTTGCAGATAGCACAAAAATCTGTACTTGTTACATGCTTTCTTTTTTTTTTTTTTTTTTTTTTTTTTTACAGTCTATATAGGAAAAGGTTAACAGATCATTTTTGTGCTTCTTTGTACCAGGAAAGAATCTAAATATCATGAATTTTTTAATCATGAACTTCAGTGTTTTTCAGGTGGTTATCTGATGTTAATTTCTGATGGCTATAAGACAACAGAAAAAGAGTTTCCAAAACTTTTTAGAAACTGTATACACACACTGGAAACAAATGAACAAACAAAACCAACAAAAGAACAACAAAAAGTAACATTCAGAGAGAAAACTTATTCGTTTGCAATGGAAAGTATAACAGAATTCTGCTGCTCACAAAATACCGAGTAACTCCAAAACAGAGAAACAGAGCTGCATATCTGATTTACAAATATCAAACCCAATTTAACCATTGCTATAAATCAAGAAAACTTCGTTATGTACTAATTGTATATTGTGTAACAAACATTTTTTTATTATGTGTGTTTGAAATTTTCTGAAAGGGTGTGTGTAGCAGAGAAAGCTATTGTACTAGTTCCATGACAATTTAGGTCAGACTTCTGCAATCCAGTCAGCATACACAGATTTGTACTGCAAAGATCATAGCTCGGTAGTGTTGGAGTACAGTAGCAAACTGATGAAAAAAAAAAAAAAAAAAAAAAAAAGAAGTCATAATCAATAAATGCCTGGCATTTAGGTAACGTGCATTTCTGTGTAGAATGTTTAGAAATGAGGCTTTTGAAAGTATTATGTTGGCTTAACGAAATTTTACTTTGAATTTCATAGGAAATTGAACTATGCAGTTCAGTGCTGAATATTTGGATATTTCCATTCCATCCATAATTTTCAGCAACATGATTTTGTGATTTATAAACTAATTTCTCAGAATCTTAAGATTTCCTACTGGTTTCAGCTCCCACCTTCTAATAATTAGGATAAAAAATGTTCCTTAACTATATTCATTACACTGAATATGTAGATTTTAGGAGAAAAAAACCCAGAAAATATTTCTGGTTTTATATAATCAAAATCACTCTTAGACATCAGAAATTTTCTAGTAGGAAGACAGAAAAAGTCTGTTTAGGAATATCAAACAAAAAATAATTTTGTTTGAAAAATTAACATTTTTTTCCAAAGCACAACAAAAGTTGAGGTGTTCCCTTGTGTTTCATCATTGTTGTTCATTATCTTTGTCAATTTTAATAGCTTTCTATTTGTCTAAAATGAAGACATTTGGAGAATTAATTTCTGAAATTAAGTTGTTAATATGAGACTTCAACGTAGTCTGGAGAAGTTTCTTTTTCAGGCAATAGATTTTTTTAGCAGTTTCCTGAAATCAAATATTTTGGTAGAAATATTAGTGAATGGCTGATGATTAGAGAAGTAGCTTTTAAAATACTACCCATCTATTAATAAAACTGAGTGCCTATATTTGTTTTACAGCTACTAATGTACTTTTTTTGTTATTATTCTTCAGAAGATACACAGCTGAAAAGTGACTTAGTTATGCAATCTCCTGCATGCTATTGGAAACTGAAAAGCCTATGCACTGAGAGATTATTTCCTCAATCTTTTCAGATAAATTATATTTGATATGCAGCTTCTTTAAAATATTTTTGTTATATTTCTGAAAGCTTTAATCTCCATTATAATACAATTGTAACACTCCATGTTGTAATTCATCCCTTTAAGGAATAGCACGTTATTAGAATAGCAAACCAAGAATTTGCTTTCCTTTCAGATTTACTGATGGCCTGTCACATTAGCATTTACTTCACTGAGATAATCTGAATTGTACAATCATAGAATCATAGAATGGCCTGGGTTGAAAAAGACCACAATGATCATCTGGTTTCCATTCTCCTGCTACGTGCAGGGTTGCCAACCACTAGACCAGGCTAGACCAGAGCCACATTCAGCCTGGGCTTGAATGCCTCCAGGGATGTGGCATCCACAACCTCCTTGGGCGACCTTTTCCAGTGTATCACCACCCTCTACGTGATAAAAATATCTAACCTAAACCTCTCCTGTCTTAGTTTAACACCATTCCCCCTTGTCCTATCACTATCCACTCTCATAAACAGCCGCTCCCCATCCTGTTTATACACTCCTTTCAAGTACTGGAAGGCCACAAGGAGGTCTCCCCATAGCCTTCTCCAAGCTAAACAAGCCCAGTTCCCTCAACCTTTCCTCATAGGAGAGGTGCTCCAACCCTCTGATCATTTTAGTGGCCCTCCTCTGGACCCGCTCCAAGTCCTTCCTGTACTGGGGGCCCCAGACCTGGACACAGTACTCCAGATGGGGCCTCACAAGAGCTGAGTAGAGGGGCACAATCACCTCACTCTCTCTGATGGCCACCCCTTTTATAATGCAGTCCAGAATACCGTTGGCCTGCTGGGCTGCAACCACACACTGCTGGCTCATGTCCAGCTTCTCGTCCACCAGGGCCCCCAAGTCCTTCTCCGCAGGACTGCTCTCAAGGAGATCTTCCCCCAGTTTCTATATGTACTTGGGATTGCCCCAGCCCAAGTGCAGCACCTTGCACTTGGCCTTAATGAACCTCATCAGGTTTTCATGGGCCCACTTCTCCAGCCTGTCCACGTCCCTCTGGATGGCTTCCCTTCCATCCAATGTATTGGCTGCACCGCTCAGCTTGGTGTCATCTGCAAACTTGCTGAGGGTGCATTTGATGCCATTGTCTATGTCATTGAAGAAGATGTTGAAAAGCACCGTTCCCAAGACCGACCCATGAAGGACACCGCTTATGACTGGCCTCCACCATGACACAGAACCACTGATCACAACCCTTTGGCTGCATTCAGTCAGCCAATTTCTAATCCATCGAATAGTCCATCTTCAAATCCACACCTCTCCAATTTAGAGAGAAGGATGTGGTGAGGGACCATGTGAATATAATATTGCTTATATATCATACAATATAATACAACATAAATGTATATAATTTTATATAATATATATTTATCTGTATATAATATGTATATTATATTAATATAATTTTTAAATAATATAATACAATATAATTTTGCTTTCCTAACCAGCACACAGCTGTAATAAAATAACTAGTGCTATTAATGAACAGAATCTACAACACACTAGGGAAAGATGAAGAAATGTTTAAAACAACACTTTCAAATAATATAATCTGTCAATTCTTACATGTGATTCAGAAAGATCTATCCAGAGCACAGAAGGGCTTTTTTCTTTTTAATTATCAAGGGCTAATTTTAAAGACGAATTTTAGAGGATCAAAGCTGCATGGACTTGGGCTGAATTCATTAAAGCATTATTGCTAAAAAAGGAAAGTTTTCAAACATTTTGAGTATGTTACTTTGAAGGTATTAAAATATTTCTCATCAGAAATACAGAAATATTTATTTTTCATTTGTTATTTTCTGTTTACAGGCTGACCTAGATCGTATTAGGGAAAAATAGTAATA